AGGTGACACCAGGGAGGATCCCCTGTATCAACTGACACCAGAACCCGGCACGGGGCAGAGTCACAGGTGAATTCTGAACTGTGTTTAGACCTGCCCTGAACTGCCTCTTGGGCATCACCTCAGGGGCCATGTCCAGCTGGAGCACTTGGTACCTGGTGACAGCAGCGATGCCCCCACCTGCCCTTTGCCTTGTTCTCCCTTTGAGGAATATTTGGGCTTCCCTGTCCAAGCCTGTTCCCGCTCCTCTTGTAGCTGTGCTCACAAGGAAATCTTCAAAGGCTCAGTCCTATCAATTTTCCCCACCATATGTTCTCATTAAAAAATTTATTGTGCACTTTATCTTAGGATTATTTGCCATCAATTAATAAAACATGTTGCAAGCTTCAAATGAACATCCTCCCCTCCCCACTTCCCTTTAACGAGGGAAAAGGACAGAGAAATATGAAAAAAAAAAAAATCACCATGACAGATGGTGTTTTTTAACCTTTCTTTTGCCCAATCTGGGGAGAAAAAAAAAAAAAAAAAGATTTTTCTCAGAATATTGGCATGGGTTTCTAATTATGAGTTACACGACTTGGAGGTCTAATCCAAAGCGTAGTGAGCTCAGGCAGCCCGAAATGTGTTCGTGTGCTGAGGTGGATGGTGCTGACACAGGGACTGGCAGAGGGGACAGGGGCTGTGGGGTGACACTGTGGGTGGTGGGTCCCCCTTCTCCTCCAGGCACTGGGGTGAGCAGGGAAAGCTGCAGAGAGTCCACTCCTGGGAGCAAATGGTTGGCAAATGTGGCCAACAGCTCCCAAAGGCACGTGGGGTTGGCAGCCAGAATGTCCTGTCGTCCTTGGCAGTGGCTGCCTGGTCTTGTAGGGAGCCTGGGGCTGTGGTGGAGGCTTGAAAAAGTGGCTTTTGGGTTTTTTTTTTTGAAGAGTTCCCAAAAGGAGAGACCTCCCTGCTGTGCCCCTGCCCAGGGGGAATGTAAGCCCTGGTTTAGGGGGAGGACGGGTGGCACGGAGAGCCCAATGATCCCCAAGCTGATGGATGACATTCCCTGTCCTTTCCCGCTGGGTGAGATCAGAATCGTGGCTTTGCCCTGCCGTTAATTTGGAATTTTGGGCTGCCCAGGGTTGGTCTCCAGGGGAGATGGGGTGGGAGGAAAAGCAAACAGAACATCCCCCAGCAGCGCCCGCGGCCGCTGCAGGGCTGGGACATCGTGTACCCTGCCGAGCCTTTCCTTGTGCCTGTGCCTACCAGGGGGAAATAAATACAGGAATAATGCACACAGACGGGTTTCTTACATAAACAAATGTCTGGGGAGAGACCTGGCTGTGGGCAACCTGCTGGGAAAGTCCTGGTCAGATGGGAATTGTAGAGTTAAACACTCCAGTCTCGCTTGGATGTGTCTGGGCTTTGATTTATACTTCTGATTGGATGTTTGCCTGGCCTGATCAGAGAGCTTGGGCAGCAGTGCATGTTGACACTTGGTGTTTAGCTCTGGGTAAAGTTTAAACAGGACTTATCGTGGCTCTGACACCTCGCGGAGGCTTCCCCGCTTTAATGACACGCTTCATGCCATCCCTCACACGGAGCTGGGCTGCAGGGCTGGCCCACAGGCTCGCACAAATTCAAGGAAAAAAGTAAACCTGCAAACCAAATTCATGGAAAAGCTTATTCGACACCTCTTCTAATTTTAAAGTAACCCCATTGCCCTCCATCCCGTTTCTCCGCTCGCTTACGCTGCTGGAATCTCAACCCTGCAGCGATCTCGGCTCAGAGAGGCCCTTCCAGCCCTGCAGAAACTGTTCACTGCCTTGCCCATATTGCCCCAGTTTGTCCCAGAAGCAGCTCTGGGCTCTGCTGGGACTGAAAGAGCCTCACATGGGAGGGCAGGCTTAGTTTTGGGTCAGGTGTGCGGTGACGCTGCCCTGGGTTGGGTCAAAATGGGACCTCTAACTTGGGGCCATCTGATATTTTTTTCCACCCATTTCGCCCTCTTTTGCTTTTAATAGAAATTGCTGAAATTATCACTGTCAGGTTTGTTCCCCCACGTTTCTCCCACCCGTGGAAGGCTGGAGGAACCTGCTCTGGGTGCAGTTTTGGGGGGTTCGGGTGGCCAAGGGCTGCCCCCGGCTCTGTTTGCACCCTCCCATGCAGGCAGGAGGAGGGGATGGGGACAATATTTACCCCACCTACCCCAATTGCTTGCCCACCGAATTTCCCACTCAAGGCCCACCAGAGAGGTGCACTGGAAATGGGATTTAACACACCATTCCCAGCCTGACACGGGCGCTGGCCTTGAGTAAAGCTCGTGCTAAATAACACTGAACTAATTTAATTTTATGCCTTGATTTTTATGAGTAACAATTAAGAAAAAAAAAAAAAAACCAAACCCACCCAGCAGAACGTAATTACTGCACCTTGAAGTCCCTGGGCAAAAGCCTGAGCTGAGGTTACAATATGACAGCTTTTATCTGGGATCTGATAGGGGTGTTATTCATTGTATTAGGAGTTTGCCAAGAGAGGCTTCACTGAAAATTAACCCGTGTTATCACAGTGAGTAATATCCTGGTTTTATCATGTGGAATAAATAAATAACGTAGACTTTAGGCTTTGGCTTAACGAGGTTACACCGAGTGCAGGGTGAGGAAACAGTGTTAAACACCACTGCAAGGATTGGTGATTGAGGTGAGATGAAACTGGAACGGAAAGTTTTCTTGCATAATGACAGAGCTTGTATTACTATTAATTATGTTATGCAACGGGAATGGGATGGAATTTGGCTCTATCTAGCAACAGGCCTGGGTGAAAAACTGCAGGAATTTTCTCAGGAAAATTCCACTTGTGACGCTCCTGACACTGTTTCATCACCTTGACCTGTTGTGGTGGTTTAGCTTCGAGCCACCCTGGTGAGACAACTCCTTTGGCTCCTGGGGAGCCCTTTCCACGTGATCTCACTGGTGCTTCTCCCACCTGGGATCCCCATTGGGATCCCCTGGGGCCAGTGAATCCAGACTCCAAGTGAGGTGGAGCATCGGCAACGCTGATGGGAAAAAAACCCAAAACCAGAATCACAGAGAGTGATTAATGGCAATAAAAATAATGGCACTGGAGAGCTTACAAAAACTGAGCAACCCCCTCGTCCCTTTGTGCCACTGGATGTTAATCATGCCAGGAATACCCTTATCCTCTGGGCCATCATCATCTGTAATACCTCCAGAGCAGCACGGGAGTGCAGGTGAGCAGAGCCAAAGCGGGCCAGAAGTGAGAAGGGAGGAGAGACGGAGAAGGAGAGAAAGGAAAAGCGAGAAAAAACCCAGTCCTTGCCTGCCAGTGGTGGAATTTGTGTGGAGATGTGTGCAGGGCAGCGTGGTTAATGAAAGGAATAACGCTCAGGGAAGCGATGGGCCCGCAGGGGAGGGCTCTGGCAGTGGCCTCCATGGGAAGGTGATGTTTGGGAGAACAATTGCTGGGCTGTTGTACCGTGCCTGGCGCTATGAATGGAGCCTAAGAAAGGGTGTCCTTGGACTGTTGCTAAAGCCCATCATCTTCTCCATCCCCTGCGTGTGCCGCTCGCTGCCGCTGCCTCCCGAAACGGGCCGGCAACGGGGGAACCAAGGGCATAAAAGGTGGGATCAGAGCACGCCCCAAGCTCAGTCCCTGCTGGGGCAGCAGCTGGCTCGCTGTTCATCCATCTCCAGCGTGGCAGGGTGGGGCCTGGGGGGGGGGTCCCTGCTCTCTGGGAAGCTCTGGAATTGCTGAGAGCGAAGTCGAGGGTGGAGGTGGGGCAGGGGCAGGTTCTGAGCGGGGCTTTTTGGGGTAGCGTGTCCTTTGAGCTGGGCCACGAGCTCCCCCTGAGCAGCTCAGGGGTCTGCTGGCCGAGCAGCGTGGGGGTGCTGGCCACTCACCTGCCTGCTGGGATTGCCCAGCTCCCTGCAGGTCCATGCCATGACACCCTGTTGTTCCAGGAGCCCTCCAGAGGAGCCCTGGGATCCCCACCAAAGATGACGAGGGCAGGGATGAAGAGCCCGAGTCTGGAATGGCTTCACACACCCCCTGGGATGTGCAGGTATGTCTGTGCTCTCTGTGTGTGTGTGTAAGGACAGCACACGTGCCTTCCCTCTGCTCCTGGCCTGCCTGGGCCATGTTCAGCCCGTGCAAAGACCCTTCACATCCTCTTTTCCAAACCTGAAATGGGAAATAAATCGAGGTGTTTTTTTTGCTGCTGAGAGTTTGAAGTGTAGCAGGCATTTACAAAGGATTAGAGTAAAAAAAAACAACTGTATGAATGACATGGACTAGGGATCTGTGCTGTCCGTGCCCAGGTCCCAGCAGAGTGTGCCATGCACTGTGCAAGTGCAGAGCTTTTATCTAATATCAGCATAAAATCGATGGGGGTTGTAGTTTTGGGCTGTGCACGTGGTTTTGGCTAAGAAGGAACTTGAGTTGCAATGAACGTTTAGGACATCATGTGTAGATTTGGAATATTTTTTCTTTTCTCCTGGCACGTGTTGTGTGGTGCTTACCCCGTGATGCTGCCTCTCAGTATGATATAATATATAATTATGCACTTTGTGTCATTATTTCTGCAAAACAGAGTGAGATTAAAGGTGTTTGAGCTGTGTGTCCTCAGTGGGGGAACGGAGGGATGGCTGTGGGCACCTGGGAAAGCCTGGCCTGGGGGTTTAAACACAGGCTTGGGTTCAAAAGAAGTATTTCCCATTTCTGCTTATGCCTTTTGCCCAGGGCAAATTGCTTAACAAAGTCTGTCTGCCTCAGTTTCCATCTGTTGGGCAAGAATTTTGTGAATCCTGGACTCCCCCAGAGGTGTGAGATAGGGCTTTTCCAGCCTGAATGATTCCAGGATTCTGTGCCTTTAGGAGAACACCCTCAGCCAGCCTCTGCTGGCACGAGTCAGATTAACTCCCCTGGAGCCAAAAGCTCCTAGAACAACAACCTGCTGGGAATTAGGAATAAATGCAAATAGTGTTTGTTTGATTTGCTCCTCGGGTCTGGCCAGGAAACCTTCAAGCAGCAGCACTTTCCCTTTTAAGCAGGTAAAGTGCTTTTTTAAAGCATTCCCAGGGAGTGTCTGTGCTCCTCTGTGTGTGGCTGTAAATCTTCCCCAGCTCTTAACGAGCCTCTCACTTGGTAACTCCACGCTGTGAAATCCAGGGCTGGGAGGAGCTGCAGACAGTGGTGGGACCTGCTCGGAACTGGGAAGGGGGAGAGGACCGTGGGGAACGGGGTGATGGGGAGAAGAGCAGGGCTGAAGGACACAGGTGATGGTTGGATCTCTGGTCCAGACTGGGAGACTGGTGGAAGGTGGAGATAGTGGTTGATGGGGAATCTGAATGGGAAAGTAAAGAAATTCTCTAAGAATAGATGAGAACGACCAAATCAGCTGAGATTTTAGGCTTAAATATTTTTTTATTATTATTATTCTAAAATATGTGGGGTTTTTTAGGTCTAATAATAATTTTTTCAACATTTTCCTGTGAAAGGCAGAAACTTTTCTAGGCGAATGGGAAGTGTTAACCCAACCTCCAGCTTTCTGTCACAAACCAGTTTGGACCAGCCATCCCAACAATCTGACCATCATGGGGGGTTTGCTTTCCCCCTGTCCTTAGCAAAGAACAGGCCAAGTATCATTTAAATAGAAAAAAAAAAATTCAAATCGCCAATAATTAAGAAAAAAAAAAAACAAACCCACGAAAAACCCAGCAGCTTTGGCCATACCTGGCTGGTGGATTTTTCCCTTGGAAGTTGGCCACCCCAAGCACACACAGGGCTCTGTGTGAGCCTCCCTTGCCCTCCAGGAGGGAGCAGAGGGTCCCTGTGCCTTGGACTCTCGGCGGGGGCAGCGGGGCCGGGGGCCGAGCGCGAGGCAGCGTTTTTGAACTCGGTTCCTTTTTCTATTTTATTTAGATTGGGTTCTGCTCAGCGGGGTGATTTCTTAATTAGAGCAACCCAGTGGTGCAAGCCTGTCTCTCCAGACCCCTGCTCTGCCTTCTTAGGTTTCACGAGGGAAGTTGTCGTGCCTTATTTCCTGAGCTCTGACGCTCGGGCGGTGTGCGGGGATTGCACCGGGAGGAAAAGACATGTAATTTAATCATCTTTATTAGATTTTGGGCGAAGGAGGGGGCAGAGCAGGAGGAACCCTGTCCTCTGCTTGTCTCTTGGCTTTCTCTTCTGCTTCTAGTGGCCAGAGATGAGATTTCACAGCGGAGGCAGCAGAAAAGGGATGGCCTTAAAGGACCGTGTGGTGATGGATTTTTTTGTCCTAATTTATGGAATTTTCCTGAGCAGTTGCTGTTGTCTCAGTCTCAGGGACATCCATGACCCTGCATGGGTTAGTTCATGACTAGTTGTGGTTAAAAATTTGAGTTTTGGTTAAAAACTAGTTGTGGTCAAAAATTTTGGAGTTCTGATCCATTTGGTTACATGAAAGGGAACCCCGTCCCTCCAAAGGGAACCCTGTCCCTCCAAAGGGAATCCTGTCCCTCCAAAGGGAACCCTGTCCCTCCAAAGGGAATCCTGTCCCTCCAAAGGGAACCCTGTCCCTCCAAAGGGAATCCTGTCCCTCCAAAGGAGGAAAAGGGGTGAGAGGCCCGTGGGGCCAGTTCAAGAAGAGTAAATGGAGAAGCAAAATTTGGAATTTTGCAACTTGCAAGTTTTTTTTGGGAATCCAAGGAGGGCAGGCAGCCTCCACCTGGAGCGTGCCATCGCCACCCTGTCCTGGGCATGGCTGTGCTCAGCTCCCACTTCCAGAGGGCAGGTGAGAGCTTCCCTCTGCACCAAGGGGAGAAAAACTCTAAGGACAAAAATGGGTCCTTTGCCTGCACTTACCCATCCCATCCCCAGTTTTTATTTAATTTAAATCAGTGCTAATCCATTGATGCCAACAGAGCTAGGCTATTCAAGCCTTGCCTTCTGCATCCTACACACTCAGCTGAGACTTCACAGCTTAAAACATATTAAACAGAGCTCAGTGGGGAGCAGGGGGGCACACTCGCATTTAATTCAAACGAAATCAAGTTCTGGATTTTTTTTTTTTTTTAATAAATCCATTTTATGGCTGGAACAAGGGCGAGAGAAGCAAATATTTGTTACCTGGAGACACCGTTTTCTCTCCCTCCTCACCACATGGGTTGGAGTTATTATTTTTCTGGCTGGCCCTGTGAAAGGCTCCCGTGGAGGATGGGAGAGGTTTATAACTCAGTAATGGGCTTCTCGCCTCAAAGTGGTTCCAGTTGCTCCCTGGGATGGGCTGGGATGGTTTTGATTACTCTGTGAGGGGGGGGGTGAGAGCTGGTCATGGTTACACCGTCCTCGTGGTGGGCACTGAGCGGGTTTGGGGAGCTGTGGGGGCAAACAGGGGGATGCTGAGCCATGGAGGAGCTGAGACACACGTGGCTGCCCACACCCCCTGGCACAGGTGGGGCTGGGGAGAGAAACATCTCCCCTTGTGAGATCTGAGCGTGGCAGGAACTTTCAAAAAAACGCCCCTTTTTTTTTGTTCCCCGAGGGGTCACTTTGCGCTCGGAGAAGGGACTCGGTGGCTGCAGCTGGGCTGTGCCAGCCCATGTGGCTGCACTGGGGTGTTGTGGGGGCCGCACAGCCCCACTCCTGGGGTTCAGCAGCTGCTCTCCCCTCGGGTTTGCTGCCTCTCCCCTCGCGCAGGTGCTCCGTGGGCAGCGCCGTGGGGGCGGCTCCCGGGGAAAAATCGGCTGGAAAACTTCCTCTCTGGGGAACAGGGGTGTGAGTCAGTGACCACTGCAGTGTCACCTGTGGCCTTCTGGAGGGTGAGGGAGGAGCTGCTGGTGCTGCAGCGGGAGAGGCACTTGTTGGTTTTGGGGAGTGTTGCAGGGCTGAGGGGAAGGTCTTGTGAAAATGCTGATATGTTTGTCCGAGGATGTATCCACGGTCCCTCCTCTCCTTTCTCACTGCCCTGGGGAGCAGGGGTGATTTTGCAGGTGTGTTTCTTGAAAAGTCCACGGTGCACCATCCCCAGGGGTGTGAGAGCAGCTGCAGGTGCCAGGGAAAAGTGCTGCTGGTCCATCCCACCCGTGTGTTTGCCTCACGGGAGGGACCCAAAAAACCCCACTGCTGCTGGCAAAGTAAGTTGCTTCAGTTGTGAGTTGTGTTTTTAGGGGGAAGCTGCAGCAGCTTGGAGCTTGGTTTCTGAGAGAGCAAGCCAGCAAGAAATTACAAATTAAAACCAGAAAGCCCTTTCCCCCCCCAGCCTCCAACTCTTGATGTCTTGATTCAAGGTATGCATAACCACGATCATTACTTGGAAGGGCAGCCCCACCTCCACCTCCCAGGGTCTCTGTTATCTCTAGAGCCACCCTCTGGCTTTTGATTACAAAAATGACACTGGAGAGAAACTCTATCTGCTGGGAGAGAGGCGGCTCCAAGCCCTCCTCGTCCTCCCTGGGAGCCTGCGAGCTGCAGGGGTAGGGAAGGAAGAGGAGGGAGGGATGAAGGTCACCTTCCGCTGCCCCGGGAAGGGAACCAACCCCTGGCGAAGGCCCGGCTCGAGCTCTCCAGAGTCATTATCGCAACAGGCTGCGAGAGGTTAGGGAGGAAGGAGCTTTTCGGAAGTCTTTGCCCGCTAATTGACTGTGAGGGGCGGAAGGAAGGATGGATCAAACAGAGAAAGAGCCCCCTCGCCGCTTGCAGCCCCCTCTGCCCTCCCCAAATGTGCCCGGCCGGGAGGCAGCAGGTTGGGGTCTGAGGGGAAATCAGATCCAACAGGAGCGGGGTCTCCTTTCAGCCTGATGGCAGATGTGGAAGGGGGTTTCCAGCATCATTAGGAAGGATGAACAGCCCAGCAAGGATGGGTGTGCGGGCTCAGGGAGCAAGGCATGCCTCCTGCTCCCCTCACCTGCACCGTGGCATCGCTGCCCCAGCCCCCTCTGGGCTCCCTGAGGGGCAAAGTCGCCCCACCATGAGCAGATGGTGCTCCCCATGTACTGCACAACCTGGGGACTGCTCTGACGTACCCCCTTGGAGGAGGTGGGTGCTGTTCAGAGCAGGAGCAGGTGGGAGTCGTGTCCCCAGGTTTGCAGCTTGCCCAGAGCCAGGACAAAGCCCTGAAATGCCAGTTTGCCTCACCCTCAGCCCAACACAGACAGTTCACTGCAGGCACAGCACAGGGGCTCAGCCCAAACCAGCCCTGGCCATTAGAGAACCCCCGCCACGGGCTGGAATACGAGGGGATTGGGACAGAGCTTTTGTACAAATTCTCCTTCCCTGCAGCCCAGCAGCCTGTGTGTTCCTGTAAAACCTGGAGACCAGGCCATGGAGAGCAGATTTCTCCTGGTTGAGCCTCAGAGGAGCTGCTCAGCTCCCTGTGCTGGAGGGGACTGTCTGGGAGGGAAGTCATTGCTGCAGTCGTGGCTTTCTGGCCCCGGCTGAGATGGTGCCCAGAAATGAAAGGCAGCTGCAGAATTTGCCTCCTCCCAAGACTGGATGAAACCAGAGCACTTTAAGATGACACAGTGCAAGAATTAATCCACTCAGGTGTCACTAAAGGATTGTCTAAGCACGTTGAGTTACCTCCTGGAACAACGCTGTGTCAGTATTTACACCAGGCAGTTTAATTTCAGGTTTCCTAATCAAGCCTTTGGAAAGAAAACAGACAATTCATGCCATTCTCTGAGTGCTACCTCTCCTTAACCTTTCAGCCTGGCTTCCAGACCCAGGAGAAAACACAGTGGAAGAGATGAGCTGCTCCCCTGGGGAGTGGCTTCTTCATCAATGCTGGTGATTGGTGCAGTGCTAATCCTGGTGCAACCTCAGGCAGTAACTATCATTACTGTTATATCGGTAAGGAAGAGGGGGAAAAAAAAAACCCAAATGATTTTTAGAGCTGCCCCGATCACCTGGATAGAATTGGGAACACTCCCTGAGCGCTCAGGAACAGACTGAGACTGGAAACCAGTTGCCTTGATGCCTTGCTCTAACCACCAGACGACCCACCCTGTATGAGCAAACGGAATAAAATTTGAAAGAAAACAAAAATCTGACTTGAAAAATGTGTTCCGCGTAGAACCAGAATGTTCAGCGGAGAAAAAAAGGATGCAGTCCAAAGTTTTACTTCCAGGCAAACATTTCAAAATGGACTTATAATGTAGCCTTTCATTTAGATTTTATATGAAGGTTTTACTTGAACTTGTAATGAAGATGGAAAAATCTGAGGTTGCCATGGCTACTGGCACTTTGCCCAATGCACTCAAATCTTTTTCCCCTAATAAAATAGATTTCAGAACCCCCCCCCCCCATAAAAAGGGAAGAGCTAAAGACCCTATAAACAAACGTAGGATGAAGAATATTATTCCATGTCAGGCTGGTTCTGACCATCATGGGCAGGTAATTTGGCTGATTCTTTTTTTTCCTCCTCACCAATTAGGCCCCCGGACCCCAAAGTCCAAGGTGGTTCTCCTGCTAATAACCAGGAAAATGCCAGGGGTAAGAAAACTGAGTGGTGGGCTGCCAGGTTCTCTTTTTGGGCTGGAAATGCATCTGCCTCGTCCTGCAGGAGGAAACTTGGTTGGTTTGGGTGTTCTTGCAGTCTGCAGCTCCACCCCAGCTGTGATGGACCCTCTTGGATGGGCATTTCTGCCGTTCAAGGATCTGCTCAGCACTCAGCCAGCAAAATTGGGGACAGCTCCAGGTCCCTGGTGCTGTGCAGGAGCTGTGATGGTGGGATTGGTGCTTGTTTGTCCTCAATCAAGGGCTGGGCTGGAGGGCTGGTGTGGCTTTATGGTCGGGGTCTGGGCTGGGAGATGAGCTGGGCTGAGCCTCGGTGGGATGTGGGAGGTCCACCCTGGGAGTGGGATGGTCTGCGAGGTCCCTTCCAACCCAAACCATTCCGTGGTGATTCCATGAGGGTGGTGATCTCACAGGCAGAAGGAGGCTTGGAAGGGGGAGCAGCAGCAGCTTGTAGCCATCTCCTCCTGACTATTTGCAGCTCCCTGGCTGATCCAGGAGTCTTGGATCTGGAAATGCTGCTCTTTGGCTTCGGCTGCTTCTTGTTTGTGGGAGCAGGGAAGGCTCTGGCCATTCCCTTGTCCTTTCTTGGTTGTGTCTTGTTTCTCTCAGGAATTCAGGTCAGACTGAGGCTTCTGTAGCTTTTGTCCTTGCAGTTTCCCCTGGAGATCCTGGTGGGAGCTGAGTTGATCTATGCAGGAAGAAGGTTGGGCTTTGAGGTCTTCTCAGAGGAGACTGAGCGTGGTGAAATGTTGGGGATGGATGGACAGTGTGGGCACTCAGAAATCACATGGGCTGGCTCAGAAATGGTTATGACATTCCTGTGGGAAGGAGACAGCACAGGCCATGGAGGTGAATGATAAACCCCTTGGAACTGTCCTGGTCCTGTCCCTGGGAGAGATGGAGGGAATTGCTGGATGTTCTTCTTCTCCTCAGGCTTTCAGGGAATCCTTTTAAATGCAACAGCTCTTGGCTTTTCCAAGTGGTGGCCGTCTGCCAGCCCCATTTATTTCCAACATGTGGTTCTGATTTGAAAATGTCCAGATCTCGAAATCTTTAATCTTCTCACACCTAGGGATTTTTTGTTTTGTTTTGTTTTTGTGGAAGGCTGAACCACGTGCATGGGATAATGGTTAAAAAGCAATACAGGCAGCTAAAATAAAAAAAAAAAAGAAAGAGAGAGAGAAAAAAAGAAAGAAAAAAGGGAGAAGAAAGAGAAACTAAAATAATTTAAAAAATATCCAGCTGGCACTTTTCTAGTCTCAGAGATGCAGCACAGAGATCATTTCATCATAGTCACTGATGAAACTCCTTGAACTTAGTGATGAAAAAGATCCTATAGATCCCACCAGATGAAAAAAAAAACCCAAAGTATTTGTAAGACTGAGGCTGGTTGTGTTCCCATTAGTTCAAATCCAAGCCAGTCCTGGTGGAAGACTGGAAGGTCTGGGTCCCCCTCGCTGCCACAGGAAGGTTTTCCTCCTCGCCCTGGGGTTTGGGAAGGTCTCTCCATGTCCCCTGGCTCTGCAGAGGAGCAGAGGTCACTCAGCCCAGGGAAAGCTCTCCCGGGGAGGGGAATCACCAGGAGCACTTCAAAGGAGGTCCCTCCCCACCCGCTGCAGGAGGAGCAGCTCGGGATGAGCCCTGCTCCTGGCCCAGAGAGTCCCCAGGACGTTTTGCATTAGGAGCCCGTGATGGAAATCAGCCTTGACAGATTTAAAATGTGCAAGGGGAAAAAGCCTTTTTTAGAGGAACCTGCAATTACCCCGCGGCTCCGAGGGGCTGCACTCACCAACAGCCAGCCCGGGACACTTGCTGCAAAATGATGGGCTTCCAGGCACGTCTGCCAGGCTTATTGAAGGTCTGAACATGGGATTAGAATTCCAGCTCTGCAGAAACACTCACCAGTTGCCAAACTGCCCTGGAAGTGCCACCGCTGGCTGTGGCCAGACCAGTGTCAGCAGCTCAGGGTGAGTTGTCCAAGCCCCTCCACAGGCTTTGTGCTTGTTCTTTGTGTGCTGCTGTAGCTTCTGGTGCAAAGCTATGGGCAGGGCAGAGTTTAATTCAGAGCCTGTCTGATAGATGGTGGCAACAACCACTGTGTGTTCACCACCCCACCATCCAGAAGCATTCCTGGGGCCTCTGTCTCACCACTGCCTGCTTGGTACTGAGATGCTGGGAGGGGATAAATCAGAATTAGAGAGTGGGTTGGGTTAGAAGGGACCCTAAAGATCACTCAGTTCCATGCTCCTGCCATGGGCAGGGACACCTTCCACTATCTCAGGTTGGTCCAGCCTGGCCTTGGACACTTCCAGGGATGGGGCAGCCACAGCTTCTCTGGGCAACCTGTGTCCACCCTCACAGGGGAGACTTTCTTCCTAACATCCCATCTAACGCTGCCCTCTGGCAGTGGGAAGCAATTCCCCTTGAGGCTGAGGTGCTGGACACAGCAGCCAGTGTGGAGTCACAGAATCATAGAACAGTTTGGGTGGGAAAGGTCGTACAGTCCATGAAGTCCAACCCTCCTGCAATGAGCAGGGACATCTTCAACTAGACCAGGTCACTCAGAGCCCCATCCAGCATCCTCCTGGGGACAGTGTCCAAGCAGGAATGGGGGTGGAAGAAAAGAGCCTTGTTCCTGTTCCCCACATGGTGCAAATGTGGGTTGGGGCTGCCTCGCCCTCCTCCCCATCCACTGTGGCTCTGCTCAGAGCTGAAGGGCTTCTCAGTGTCTCCCTGTGCACTAAGAGTTAAGGGGACTGAGCAGCTCTGAAGATAAGAAACAGATGATAAAGGTTAGAGGAGGGATCATTTTCCACCCTGCAGCCTGTAAATGCAGAGTAATTAGAATGCAGCCTCCAGTCCAAGAAAATGCAGAGAAAAAAACAGCCAAAGAATCCCCCTTTCCTCCCCAGGAAAGAAGCTGAAGAGCCCCAAAGGCCTGAGAGTGGGGAATAACTCAGCTCTGCTACTTGGGGCTGGAAAATGCCCATCAGCCAAGGTGTGCTCCTGCAGGGCTGCACTGGGAGGTGGCTGTGGAGGCACTGGGCTGGCCTGACCCTCTCTGGAAAACACCTTGGGATTTACCCTGTTCCAGGTGGGGCTGGATCCCCCCTGGAGTCAGACCCAGCCCCTCGTTGCGCTGCTCTGCACAGCAGCACAGGGACAGGGGCCGGAGCAAACCCGGCGGGGTTTGGTGGGAGGTTTTAGGGCTCCAAGGGAAGGAGCCTGACCCAGCTCACCAGGGTCACTGCCACTGAAAAAGGAAGCACTGACGTGTGTGCAGGGCCAGGACCTGGCTGTCGAGGAGCCCTGGGTATTCCATGATTCCCTGAGCTGGGCAGGTTTATTGCTGCTCACACCCACACAGGTACCTGCCGGGCTCTTGTCTTCCCAAGGCATGGCCCTGAAATTTTTGCTGACCCGGTACCTATGGGGCTTGTTCTTTTTTTTTTTTTTTGCAAAAAATGGTCTAAATGCTGTTATTTCTGGGCCTTTAACGCCACCTACCCTTAACCATTCCCCAGGAAAGGAGAGTCCCTATCTGGTGACTCAGACTCCACGGATCAGCTGGATGCGGATGTCTGACCCAACATCGAGTTTCATTTTCATTCGTTTGTTTTCATTTTCTTTCAAGCTTTATTTTTCTCTCCTCTGCAGTTCATTAGCATCTTCCCTTTCCCTGCTTGCTTTTTCCCCCCTTGCTTTCTTCTGGAACCCAGAAGTATTTCACTGTGGCTTGCCAAATGATTCCTATCTCAGTGAAAAAGAACTTGCTATTTCCTGAAAACCTACCACTGTTTTCTCTCTCTCTCTCTTTCTCTTTTTTCCCCCCCCCCCTCTAATACATTCTGAGTATTGAAACAAATCCAGGTAACTTGATAAGAAGTTAATGAAAACAAATGAATTCTGTTTTGCAAAGGTGCATTGGGGAGGAGGGCAGCAGTGCTTGGGAGGGAAGGAGGGAATTGTCTCTGCCCAAAGGAGGTTGCAGGGGACATCTGGCTCGAAAATCCCCCCGTGCCAAATTTTGCAGGGGAGAAATGGCAGAGGAAGAGGTTCTGTAGTTTTCCACTTGTGTGGTGGGTTTTTTTGTTACTTTAGACATTGTTTGTGAGAAAACCCCGGGGTGACACGGCTGGGCCAGCACAATCCCCTGTGGTTTCGGTGCTGGGGTTCGGGGGCTCCCCACGAGCCCTGACCTCCTGTGGAGCTCTGAACGCCCATCTCACCCACCTGCCCACCCTCCCCCCAGCCCAACCTACCCCAGCACCCCCGTTCTATCCCAGGGAGAGCTGTGTCCATGGCCAAGCCCAATGAAAATCCCAGTTCAACCCCTGCTCTGTGGGGACCGGCGAGCTGAGTCCCCCCAGGAGCTGGGGATGCAACACCAACCCTCCTCTGGCTGCTTCTCCCAGAGCAAAGTGTCTCCAGTGCAGTGGAGATGTCACCACTTCCAGGGACGCTTGTCCAAGCTTTCCTAGCTCATTTTCCACGGCGTTACTTTATGAACTGGAGCCGGAGCACAGTGGGCAAAAAGAAACTCAAATACGCCCTTAACGAGCCCATTCTTTTATTGGGCTGATTTTCAGCTGCATTTTACCTTTCAGCGCACGGGAAGTTTGGCTTTGGGGAAGTTTATTTCTTTCTGGTGCATTCATTTCCGAGGGCTCTGCTGTTCTCCAGGGTCGATTTCTGTTTGCTTTGGGACCGGGAGAGCCGGAGCCTTTGAACCGGGCGCTTGTGGGATCAGGAACTCTGTTTGCTAGCTGGGGTTACTGTGTTGCATAACTCACAAATATCATCCAGCGTTCGAGAAAAATGGATGATCTTTGGGTTTTTCTTCGCCCCCTCCCCCTCTTTAGCCCTCCCCATCTTCCCTGTGATTTTCTATGGTCCGTGATTGGAAGCAAAAGGTCTAAAAGAGAGAGGAAATCAAGCCCGTCAATAAATGCTAAAAATATTTAGTGTGGCAGCCT